TGACGTAATCACGGCAAAGAAGGCGGCGTCGCACGAGGGACTTACGCACACAATGATAATAGCAACGGCGAACGATATCCGAGTTGCCGGTAGCGGCACGAATTATGGCCCGTCGGAATCAGACGACAACTGATGATCCGACACGAAGTAATAACAACGGGCGCGAATGTCGGCGGCGAACACGCGACAACGAATAGCAGTCGCACAACGGACAACAGGTCGACGATGATCGGAACGACGTCGAAGACGAATGATGATAATAGCGAAACGCAAGCACGGTGGCGGACACGACCGTCGGCTAACACACCGCACCCAACGTCCACAACTTCGCGGGTAATAAGATCTATAACGACCACGAGGTGGTCGCAACGGAAGCGAACTCGTCGCTAAATGAATAATGAATAAACGCACGGATTACATGGACCACGAACTCGTCGCGAAATGACAGCAAACTCGTCGCGAAAGGACAGCGAACCCGTCGCGAAATGACAGCGAACTCGTCGCTAAAGATGGCAGCGAACTTGTCGCTAAAATGGTATCGATCACGGTCTGCTCGCATGGAGCGTGCGGCAAAGACGCACGACAGGTCTGCACGCAACGAGCACACGGCAAAGACGGCTTTTTGTCGCCGGCGGCGATTTGGCCGAAGCCCGGCGTCCGCGGGCCGCGCGGTGCGCTGTCTCGCGGACCGGTTGCCAAATGTTGCACCGAAAGCGGCGGGAAGTTCAAACACATTGTAATTAAAAAATTATAAAATGTTCAGTTTTTTTTTACTAAGGATTGAAAATTTAAAACAAAAATTCATATAGGGATATGTAATTATAATTTATTTTTAATCAATATTTTATAAACATTATGGTAAATGATATAGAAACTATAATTGTTCATAATTAGGCTCATAATGGGGATTGACTTCGTTTACATTTCCATAATCATTAACGTCCACACTTTTCAATGACTGTGATGAGGAACTTGTACTTGGCGCCGGTGAATATTGTGGTAAATTTACGAATGTACTCGTATTGCGTATTTCTAATTCAAAGACCATTTGAAGCGACTTAATTTTTGCTTCATTTATCAATGCTGGACTAAGTTTTTTGACAGATATCGCGATACTTTTGAAGAATAAATCGATCTCATCTTCACGATTTTGAGCCATATTCTTCATGATCTCATTTCTCTCAATACACCTATCTGTGTCTACCACCCTGTAAGCTACCACAAATTCGAGTATTGTATTGCCACACGTTTTTGTAGGTGACTAGGCGTTTCGCTTACATACAAATATGATGAAACCTTATTCTCGTCCTGTTGCAAGTGTGGACAATCGAAAGGCGATTTTCAATTATCGACTCTCTAGAGCTCGAAGAGTTTTGGAAAATGCTTTTGGTCTACTAAGCCAAGTTTTTCGTATATTTTATACACCAATTGCCTTAAAGCCCGAGACCACTGACAATCTGATTGTTGTGGCATGCTGCCTACACAATTTACTAAGATACGCTTATCTAGAGAAACAAGGCAATCCGTTCTATGAACTGGACCCAAATGAGCAACCTCCAACAAAAAGTTTTTTACCACTTTCTAGAACTGGTGGATTTTCAAATGCCAATTGGTTCTCTGTACGAGATTTATTTATGGAATATTTTAACACTAATGCAGGAACAATTGCCTGGCAAGAAAGTCATACCACAAGAACTAATTAATATACTAATATAATTATAATATTTTGTAAAACTAAATAATTATAATAAATTACAATATTCTTACCAGATCTTTTGCACGCGTCTGACTCGTCATAGGAATCGTACCTTAAGTAACATTACCTTCCCCTACCGCCTATTTTCCCCTTACTACAAAATAACCTATAGCAGTAGACATTAATAAGGTAGCACATATTTTAAAAACACTAATATTAGATATTTGTCAAAAACAAACTAAACCATATTTGAGACACCCAAAATATGAATTTTTATTTTTATTTAAAACACACAGAATCATAAAAATAAATAATAATATGCCAGCCCATAATACATTAAAGAATAGTTAATTTCTAAGAACTGTAATTTTAAACAACAATTTTCGATGATATCAATTTGAGAGACGTATTGCATCGCATTCTCTATACTTATGTACATAGCTGAAACATAAAATTGATAGCCGCTAGGTAGATAAGTAGATAGTACCTACCTACATTTTAAATCGGTTAGTTTAATTATTATTTAGTTGTTTAGAGTTTAACTTTTCATAGACATGATTACTCACATCAAACGATATATATTTTACTGAAAACTAGAAAAAAAAAGCCAACCAATTTGCTTATAAAATTTAATTATACCCACTTAGTTTTGCCAATTAAATAAATTATTGTTTCTATAATAAATGCAACATTATTCTATTTCTATTATATAGTAACATGCACTAATGAATTGTATTGGTTTTACAAAGTGTATTTTAGATTCTGAACCTTTTGGTTTTATAATGATGATTGATGTGTCTATGTTTTTTTTTTATTTGTGTCTGTGTACACGATAAGTAGTCAAAATAATGTTCGATTTTCAACTTTAGTATCTTGTTCGATAGGAAAGTGATTCTAGCTGGTACTGACTGTTTATACTAAAATTTTCATTACAAAATACAATTCAAAATATTAGATAAAAGAATTAGATGTAAGTTACTATAACACATATAATAATAAGAAATGTAATGAACCTAATAGTAGTATAGTGTAGATAAATACACAACTTGTATCAACTAAGTACATGGCTAGCTTATACCAACATTTTAGTAAATCGTATTAACCTCAAAAATAGTCTATGGTTTATAAAATACACCAGACCACGTTCTTATAAAAAAAAAAAGAGTTTGTAATTGTAATTGGGTTTTTTTTTTTGTTTGTTGTTTCAATTATCATTATGTACACTAGGTAATATGTATATTATTCAACTTTTGTACAATAGGTACTATAAGTTTTGACATCCACAACAACATCCAGGGCCGCGACTATAACTTCCTAAGGATGCGGAACCATTCCAATGGGCCACTAAATACCCAAAGAGTTGACCCGACCAACCATCAAAAAAAAAAATACTCCACGAAACGCAATAAACATATACCACGACACGAGATAAACTATCTAGATTCATGTTGACATTTTTGTATATTAATGGGCAACAATTGAAACAACAAACATAGACTGACATACCAGATAATCATAGTATAAAACAATAAGACAGTCCAGACTAAGACATTTTTGAAACATCAGCATATGCAAAAAAAAAAAACCGCAAACAACACATTATCATCGACAACACTATTCCCACAGTACAAGAGGCATTGCTCTGACACGGGTAACAGAAAACTATAAATACAAAATCCTTAAATTTGTTAATAATATGTATAATGTAAAATATGAGGTCATATTTTTTGTAAAATAGAGGACTGTTGTTTTAATCATTTAGTATAACGATGTAGTAATAAGAAATTTTAGTACGTAAAAACTAGGTTAAGAATACAATTAGGCATAGGTAACAATAGTAAAATGTACTACGATGCAAATATTTTATAAACATTGAACATATTACATGTAACTAGGTTATGACAACAATAATGTAATAAAATAAAAATGAAGTATAATTTAACCATAGTACAATCGATATTATTCGATTGTGATTCGATTACACTCACGGACGGGCGATAATTATGAGACGCAAAGACACTTCATAGTTCATGCATTCGCACTGCGACGAGGGACGGGCGATAATGCAATAACGAGCGAATTTCGGTCGTGATGCGAGAACTCGGACTGACGACGGTTTCATGCGTACTACGTGCCTACTGACGTGTAGAGCATTTGCGTATAACATGTAAGTACGTGCGAGCGAGGTTTGGTAAAAATACAAAAGCACACAAAGCGGCAACGGACGACACGCACTGGTCGTCGCGGCTACTTCACCGGTACTGGAGAAGCGTACGCGGAGTCACCGCCGCCGTGACCGGTCGGCCGACAGATAAGCTTATCGGGCCTTTGGTGGTGGACACGGCCTGCAGGTGCACAACGTTGATTGTGGCGTCAACAATATCTGATAATATATCACTTAGCATTTTATATTTAGGTTGATCCAATGTTTTTGAATATAAGTATACGTTGTGAAATCGTATTCCGTTTATATTGGTTAATAAAGTGAAAATTAGTTTTGTTTTTCCACAGCCATAAGGACCCACGATAAGCGCACGTATCGTATTAGGTAGGAGTGCCCCGTGTCTATGTTGCTGATCCGATGTAGGCGGGTCCACGTTTTCAACTGATAGTTTTATTTTTGGTTTGATGAACTTCATTATAAATAACTGAGCAACGATGAGAATGTAATCAGTACACGATGTCACGCGATTTCACTATTTAATTGCTTCCGTCTCTGGAGCTGCGAGTACTGTGGTACGTTCAGTCCCTCTTACTGGTCCCAATTATGAAGTTGCCTGGAACGCATTGCATGATCGATTTGACAGTACGCGTCTTATACTTCACGCGCACTTGGACAAGTTATTCGGATTTTCTCCCATACAAAAAGAATCGCTAAATGACCTAAATAACTTTTTAGATGTATTCAAAGAGAACACAGCAGCGATCAACGCTCTAGGTGTGCATGATCTGTCCGGTTTTCTATTATTTTATATAGCGTCGCGCATCTTGTATAGTTCGACGAAGCGTCTCTTCGAGGCTGATCAGGGCGCACATCATCTTCCCACTCTCAATGATTTATTAATTAATATTCATACAATCTCGGTGCAAAATCCTACAAAATAGTTCGATGTCAGACGCCGAAAGAAAACCTGCAGCTTTCACGGGCCGAAAGCCTGTAATGTCAAGATCATCGTTATTGGCCGCAACCAAGGAGCAAGATCCTCACTGCTATGCTTGCCAAGGGACACACTATGTATACAAATGTGAGAAGTTTAAGTGACTAACCACATCAGCACGATTTCAGCTGGTAAAGTCCAATAACATGTGCTCAAATTGTCTCAGTGGTTCCCATACGGCTTCCACATGTCCTTCGAAGTATTCGTGTCGAACCTGTTCCGGAAAACATCATTCGGTACTGCACTTCGAATCACGAAAGCGTCAGGCTGGCACTAATCCAATTAACCATGCACCCGCGGTTCCATCGTCGTCGGCAGCCCCCGTTGGTAATCTACCAAGCACCGATGACACGTCATTTGTTGGTACCGTTAGCAGCGGCAATTTGAGTGTTTTAGGCACAGCTGTTATTCGGATGTGCAACCAACAGGGACAGTGGGTACCAGTCCGTGCATTAATAGATTGTGGATCACAAATATCTGCTATAACAACGAAGTCTGCAACACGACTTGGTCTTACTCGGTGCAATCGTAAAATCAATGTAGTCGGATTGTCACAGAGCCCCGTAGTCCAGGCAAAAGGTGTAGTCTTGTGCAGCATAGTTCCACACATGAGGTTAGATCGAAAGCTAACTTGTGAACCCGTTCTATTGTCAAAGATTACTGGGTTGATGCCTTCGAAAGTGTTAGATTTATCCATACGAACTCAGTACATGGATCTGGAGCTCGCAGATCCGAATTTCGATCGTCCAGGGCAAATTGAATTTTTACTAGGCGCTGACGTGTACAACCACATTTTCACAGACGGTTATCATGTACGCCATACTCCAGGGTTGCCTTCCGCGTTCGAGACAACATAAGGCTGGATTATTGTTGGAGCCGCGGCAGCCTCAAGCACTTTGTCATCGCCAGTATCACTGTCGTTGACAACCGAACCGTCACTTAAACAATTGCTGAACCGGTTTTGGGAAGTTGAGGAGCCTGTGGTTTTACCTAATCCGTTTACAGAAGAACAGAAGTGCGAAGAGATTTTCCGCCGTACCACCACTAGAGATCCGTCGGGAAAGTACTCAGTGTCGTTTCCGTTTAAAACCAAACCTTCCGCTCTTGGTGACTCCCGGTCAATGGCACTATCAAGATTTTATAATTTGGAGCGTAAATTAACAGCTGATCCTATCATATACGAGGAGTATAAAGCTTTTATGAACGAGTATTTACAACTTGGCCACATGAAACTAGCGCAAACTCCAGGAAACTACATCATTCCACATCACGCAGTTGTCAAACGAACGAACGGAAAAATTAAACTAAGAGTCGTATTTGACGCGTCTGCCCCTACATCCTCTGGAACATCACTAAACAATTTGTTATTTACCGGACCCAAATTGCAATGTGACATAACAGATCTATTATTACGATGTCGCTTTCATGAATATATGCTCACAGCAGATATATGGAAAATGTATAGACAAATACAGGTGTCACCAGCAGAATGCTCTTACCAGCATATTTTGTGGCGCAACGATCCAGCTGAATCAATACAGGAGTATGCACTGTCGACAGTTACTTACGGAGTGTCCTCTTCTCCCTTTCAAGCCATCCGTGTATTGCATCAATTGGAACTGGACGAACGTTCAAAATACCCAGCTGCACAAGGAGTGTTATCTAGTCAAACTTACGTCGACGACATCATAGCCGGAGCTGCCTCAGTCGAACAGATCGTGACGTTGCAGAAACAGCTCATCGGTTTGCTAGGTCAAGGTCAATTTGAGCTGAAAAAGTGGGCAAGTAACTGTCCACAAGTTCTGCAAAATATCCCAAAGGACGATCAAGTTGTGGAACTGTCATTCGACCCAAAGGATGATTGTTCAATAAAGATTTTGGGGTTACATTGGGACCCGGCAAATGATATATTCAGTTATCATAGTGATCCTTGCGTCTCTCGACCTACGAAACGTTCAGTGCTATCCGCGATAGCTAAGATCTATGACCCACTCGGAGCATTATCACCCATCACCTTTTGTGCTAAGTGCTTCATGCAGATTCTATGGAAAAACGCATATGAATGGGACCAACCGATCAACGACGAACTAGCTTCTTCTTGGAATTCATTCTCTACACAGTTGCCTTCGGTCTCACAAGTTAAAATCAAGAGACATATTCTTATTGAACAGTGTACTGACGTTCAACTACTAGGTTTTTCCGATGCATCACAAAAGGGATACTCAGCTGTTGTTTACATGCGATTGTCGTATGCGTCAAGACCGGGCACAGTACATCTACTTACAGCAAGGTCGAAGGTGGCACCGTTAAAGAACAACCGTCTAGACGAGTCACTTTCCATTCCAAGGTTGGAATTATGTGGGGCACTGCTATTAGCTCAAACATTGCTTCGTGTACAGAATGCATTATCGTCAATCACTCACATATCCTCGATTCATGCATGGACCGATTCTACAGTGGTGTTGTCTTGGCTAACAACTCAGCAAGTTACATTCAAAGTATTTGTTACGAACAGGCTTAACAAGATAGGTGAACTTCTGCCCTCGGGTCAGTGGCGATATGTACCATCAATGCAAAATCCAGCTGATTGTGTGTCCCGTGGCCTGCTTCCTACTGAGGCATTAGAACACAGTTTATACTGGGATGGTCCGTCTTTCGTCCAACAGTCACCTGATACTTGGAAATCACCACAGTATGAAAAAATTCCCATCGCTGAACTACCTGAACAGAAAACCGTGGCAGAGACTTTGCACAGTGACTTATTGTTACACCAACAGCGAACGACGAATGGCTTGAAAAATTCTCATCATTGACTCGTCTAAAAAGAGTTGTTGCTTACATGAGACGTTTCATCATCAAGGCTCGTCACAAGTCACTCCAGCGAAAGCCCACTCATCAATGTGACGACCATCCACCCATGTTTACAGGATTCCTTCGATATGAAGAACTTCGTGATGCTTTACAGACGCTAGTCCAAATAACGCAACGCATCCACTTTTCACAGTTACTCAAGCTTATTTCATCTTCGTCATCGTCAATTAAACCTCGTTCGATAGCTTGTCTCACCCCGTTCATTGACGCGTCTGGAATCATACGCGTGGGTGAACGACTGCGCCGTTCAACCGCACCGGAAGATTTCAAATATCCAGTGTTAATGCCAAAGTCAAGCGCGTTAACGTTGCTATTGATCCGATATTATCATATAACTGGTATGCACGCTGGGCCTCAGCTTGTGGCATCCTTGTTGTCTTCTCAATTTTGGATTGTGTCAGGTCGATCAGTTATTCGTCACATTATTTTCAAATGTGTTACCTGTACACGACATCAAGCGTCAACCGTCAAAACGTTAATGGGCGATCTTCCTTCCTCTTGAGTATGTCCATCGAGACCCTTTTCTAATGTCGGTGTAGATTACGCAGGACCACTTTTGATCAAAGAAAGCAAACGTCGGAACGCCCGCTCTACAAAATGTTATGTGACGATCTTCATCTGCATGGCCGTGAAAGCGGTGCACATCGAAGTGGTCTCTGATCTTACAACTTCGGCATTCCTTGCGTCATTGCAACGTTTTATTCCTATACCTTTGGAAATATACTCAGACTGTGGTACCAATTTCCAAGGTGCCGCATCTGAATTGCGTCGGTTGTGGTCAGATCCTGAAGCACAAAACAGTGTCTCAAATGCTGTGCCATGTAGGTGGCACTTCAACCCACCGGCTGCTCCCCACTTCGGGGGATTGTGGGAGGCAGCTGTTAAATCCATGAAAACCCACCTGAAACGAGTAATTGGCACCCAACTGTTAACATTTGAGGAGATGTGCACTATAACTCAACGAATAGAAGCCATACTGAACTCACGACCAATAACACCCCTTTCGTCAGATCCAAATGATTTACGAGTGTTAACACCAGGTCACTTCCTCACAGATGCACCTCTCGTCACGCTGCCTGACCCCGATGTGACGCAGATTCCAATGAACCGTCTCAACCTGCAGCTGTTGGATCAATTTCACCAATCGTTGTGGAAACGTTGGTCTTCAGAATACTTGCGATTATTGCAAGTCCGATCGAAATGGCACCACCCGCAACCTAATGTCACACTTGGTGACCTTGTGCTAGTGCAGGCACCAAATTTACCACCCACACTCTGGAAAATGGGACGGGTCGAAGCAGTTCATCCCGGCGAAGATGGAGTTGTGAGGGTAGTAACTCTCCGTACCAGTGATGGCACCCTCAAGCGGCCCGTGGTCAAGTTAGCTCGTCTTCCAATCAATTAAAAAAAAAATATATTTTTATTCCTACGCAGCAAAGGTCTTTCCTCTCCTGTAAACTGATATTCGTGTATTTTTTTTTTTTTATTTTGTATTATTATTTTGTATAATTATTTTGTATAATTATTTTGTTTACCTTATTATGTATTATGTTTTTGTTCAAAAATTCATCTTCGTTTACGCCTCGATCACATTTTGGAAGAGCCTTAGTCTTCCAAAGGGGGAGTATGTTGACGCCACAATCAACGTTGTGCACCTGCAGGCCGTGTCCACCACCAAAGGCCCGATAAGCTTATCTGTCGGCCGACCGGTCACGGCGGCGGTGACTCCGCGTACGCTTCTCCAGTACCGGTGAAGTTGCCGCGACGACCAGTGCGTGTCGTTCGTTGCCGCTTTGTGTGCTTTTGTATTTTTACCAAACCTCGCTCGCACGTACTTACATGTTATACGCAAATGCTCTACACGTCAGTAGGCACGTAGTACGCATGAAACCGTCGTCAGTCCGAGTTCTCGCATCACGACCGAAATTCGCTCGTTATTGCATTATCGCCCGTCCCTCGTCGCAGTGCGAATGCATGAACTATGAAGTGTCTTTGCGTCTCATAATTATCGCCCGTCCGCGAAAGCGCAGCGCGAGCCAGCCGTTCGAGCATCGCATCACACACACACACACATATACGTGATATCACACCGTCATCATATAAACCAGCTGTTCCGCCGCGGTGCCATATCACCAGCATCAGGTCGTACCGTGATTGTATTGTTGTTATTGATAAATACTATTATTATTGTTAAATTAATATTTTATATATGCTGTAATTATATGGTGCATCGTTTTGTGATCGCCTGAGTTAAGACTACTAACATAGGTTAAGGCGTCATTTGTATTATTATTGTCAAATATTATTTGCGTATTACTATACTCATATCTTTATTCTTTTATTTTTCTTAAATCATCTCCTTGATATTCTAAGCTGTTGGTAATCTCCTTAGAGCAATAATTGTCGGGCGTACCAGCCTCAACAGATATTGATGGTATAAAATTATTTACATTCCATGAAAACGAACAAGTTATTGAACCCGAGAAAGCTTTACCAAACTCTGTTTTTTTGTTTTGACGATATTATTACTGAAAACCAAAAGATTGCCATGTTGAAAGTGAAGCTTGACGGACTAATGATGTTAGCATTAATATAATAAATAATAACACGACAATATGATTATGTATAAGTATAATATATAATAACGTACAACTGGACAATTAAACTGTGACAGTACACACACATCGTATACGCTCTGTACAACGACGCCTGTGCAAGTGAATATTACATACATCAAAGGCCCTATATATATATGCACGACCGAGGTTCCGTGAAGAGAGTGAGTCTTATGCTCGTACATAACTAGTTACTATATTGTACACACGTGTCAAGGCTGACTACATGTACTACATATTAATTGTATATTTCAACATGCCAGAACTTACTTTTCCAGAGGTCGTCTTAATTTAGTTGATGTATTCTATCTGGCTCAGAGTTATTCAAAAGTACCAAAACAACTTTTGCGTAAAAACGCTAATTTTATTGTATTATTCAAACAAGACGAAACTAATTTAAAGCATGTATACAATGAGCATTGCTCTGGCGACATGTCATATTCAGAGTTTAAAGGCTTTTGCACTTCGTGTTGGCGTCTGGGGAGATTTGAGTTTATCGTGATAAACAAAGAATGTGAACGTGACAACGGTCGATATCGTCATGTATTTGACACGTTCGTCGTTATATAAAGTGTTGTCATTGCGGAAATGATTCATTCGCAGTCATGGCTGCTAGTGGTGAAGTACTCGGTAAACTGATTAAAGCCAAAGAAAATATTAAACGCAAGTATACCGCATTAAATCAAGGAAAAGCAGATATTCATTCCCTAGTATCAGAAACGTTAAGTCCGATTATCGAACCATTGAAACAAAATATTAATAAAACAACATTTCAAGCTCCGCCTACACAGCAAGACATTGATATTCAAGATTCTCAATATTTTAACGACACAGTCGATTCGCTAGCTTATACCGACTTTTATAAATCTTACGATATAGACAAAACGTATGGACCTAAAGTACAAAAAATGGAAGAGTAGTTTTAGGTAAAAAAGAAATTAAACTCGTCGACAATTCGCTTACTATTGATGATGTATCGTATCCACAAGGACTTGGTAATTTAATATTTTCAAAATCTCCAAAATTATACACCAAAAATGATTTAAAAGCATACAAGTCTATATTAATTCAAACATCGGCGAATCTAAAAGTAGATGGGACAGAAATTAAAAAAGGTGGAAATAAATATCATGATATAATCCAACATTTGTTTCAATCTGGCAGAGGCTTATCTATGAAGCTACAAAAACATAATTTAGTATACTGGAACGACCCAAACGAGATTACTACTTCTTTTAGCTTTTAAAGCTGCTGGTAATACAGGCGTTTCGAATGAAATACTCTCGATTTTTGAAGAATTGCGTGAAGCAGGATTTATAAAACGTATTCCAAATGTCTAAACGTGATACAGCTTATGAACTCCACAAACCAGCTAGAAAAAAATATACGAGACGTAGAGTTAATGTTTATGGCAAAAACGATCTATGGCAGGCAGATTTAGTCGAAATGATACCGTATTCGAAAAAAAATAAAGGTTATAAATATATTCTATGTGTAATTGATTGTTTTACTAAATTTACATGGGCAATAGCGTTAAAATCTAAAACTGCTAAAGAAGTTTCCAGCGCAATGTCTAGAATACTGATTAAACGCATACTAAATCTATTACAGCTTGATAGTGGTAAAGAATTTTACAATTCTACATTTGATGTCTAAATACAACATACACAAATATTCTACGTACAGTACAACAAAAGCTTGTATAGTTGAGCGTTTTAACCACACTTTGAAAGAAAAAATGTTTAGAGAGTTTACGGCACGTGGCTCTCACGAATGGGTTTCTATTTTACAGTCGTTGATTAACGAGTACAACAACTCAAAACATAGGACAATAGGTATGACACCAGTGCAAGCCGATGCAAATCCGGCATCTGTCGTAATTAAACAACGAAAAATTATTAATGGATCAATCAAATTTAACATTGGTGATAAAGTTCGTATAAGCACATATAAAAGTGTATTTTCAAAAGGATATTTACCTAGCTGGTCTACAGAAATATTTAAAATTGTTAAAATTAACGAAACATTACCTACTACTTATCAGCTACAAGATTATACTGGAAAACCGATTGCTGGTTGTTTTTATTCAGAGGAAATATTGAAAAAAACTATCCGAATGACTATTTAGTAGAGAAAATTATCCGTAAGAAGGGGGATCAAATTTTTGTCAAATGGCTAGGGTTTGATAATACGCACAATAGTTGGATAAATGTCTAGCTACAGACATGAACGTGTTTGGTAGTTCTCAGTCTAGTGAAACTAATACATTTTTAGTAAATCTCGAACAAATTGTTAAATCGTATTCGCATAAACTAGATAAATTCGAAAATTCAGTTAAAGAACAAATAGAACAAATTGTTACATTTCAATCACTACAAATAGATTATATGAAAAGAATTGACGCATCCTTACAACATATTAAAGAAAATACAGACAAGTTGAAAAATAATCCTAATCCCCATAAACCATAATGTCTTCAGCCATCTTGGACATGCAATGCATACTTGGTGTGCAAAATAAATATATGATTAAAGAAATGTCTAAAATAGACACTGTAACATGGGCGACCCAACACTGGATTTTTAAACATTCAAAATCCATAGAGGATTACAAAAGTCGTAAAACCAACAAGTGGTTGGAACGTAATTACCATCAACTATCTATAGATTATGGTGATGTCGAGTATGAAGAACTCGTTAAATATTGAATTCATTCAAGTTCACCTGCATTTACGTCAAAGGTGAACAGAAAAAACAAGTTCTTATGGAGTATATACCACAAGTCGCACTCATCAACATTGAAGACTTAGGCTGTCCTCGTTTGGATCAAATATGCGATGACGAAACTCTACCTTGTTGTATTTTTCATATGGAATTTAATCCTAAACAGTGTAAATTTTATAAAGTTTTTGCTATAAGAAAATGGTTTATAAATAATTCTTAAAAATATAACAATAAACATAATTATATTTTAACATTGGTTTTTTATTTTACATAGGTAACCTAACATTTTTAATATATATATACATGGTATTTTCCAATATAACAAAATATAATATATACATGGTACTTTGCAAAAAAAAAAATAAAAAATGCATTTACAAAAACATGTGCATTAATCTCTCTCAACTATAATTATAAAACATGATAATATTTTCAATATATATAGCAAACTATATAAAATGGTAATATTTATACAATAAAACTATTTAACAAAACTATATACAAGTTATAAATTATTTTATGCAGTGTAGAAGGCCCCTCATTAAACATTTCTCTTCCTCGTTCCATTTCTGTCCTTCTTCTTCTAATTCAGGCCAATCATATTCCCTGTAAAAAGAAGGAAAAAATGTTAGTAAAAAAATATATATATATTTATATATTTGTAATAACTTACTCTATACTATAATGTCCATGTGCTAGTGTGTGCACTTTATCTTCTAGCACCACCCTATTATCGTCATAGCTGTTATAGGTTAATTTCTCTGTTTTTATCGTCATCAGCTGGTGTTTGAATGACCTTATCGAGACGTTCTCCTTGTATAACTCTAGTCCAACTTCTCCAAACAGGCACTTCCTATGGTCCTCAAGAGTCATATGGTTTTTAACCACATGAGCTCTGATACCTTTCGCCTTAATCTTTTTTCCTCCCACTCTGTCCTCTTCTCCAGCATATACTTTAAATGCATACGACTTCGCACTCAACGCACAAAATTCGGTTATTATATTTCCATCCACCTAATCAGATAAGAACCCCGGGCTCTTCTTCCTATCTGGTATATAGCATGGGT